AAAAAATAAAAAAGAGTAGAATATGAAAATTTTTATGTGAACAAAAAAAAGGATGGAATATGAAAATTTTTGCATCGATGTGATAATCCCTAATTGTATATATAGTTTGTTTTAAATTTTAATTAGTTTTTATTAGATGTCATAAAAGAAAATAAAAAGATGAAAATACCATTTAAAAGAATGAAACGTTACAATCTATAATCATAAATAGTAATTATATATACAAAAAAAACTTACCACATTAATAAAATAACAAAAACTTACTATTTGAAGTTGAAAAATATTTGGGAGGTAAAAGTGTAGGCTATCACATTAATTAGATAGCCTACAATTATATATATATAGATTCATGTGAACTTCATTATTTGCAAGATTATTGTCCATGTTATTGGTTTTATTTATCATCTATATTATATAAAAAGAATAACATTTTTTACAATTTTAGAAATGTTTTTCCGCCAAATTCATTAAATATATCCTATATATAGTAATTGTTGGACAATATTGATAAGGCAACAAAATCGGCAGATTAATTGTGTTAGAATCTGTTTTCCTTTTTCCTGTTAGATTAATTGTGTTAGAACCTGTTTTCCTTTTTCCGTATTGAAAATGGCGTTATAAAATCTCATAGCATAAATCTAGAGTTTATCTCTTATCTGTTACAAAATTCCATTGCATATGTCTCACGAGTTTAAAAAATCCCATCTCTAATCTATAAGGATTTAAAAAAATAAAATAAAATAAAAACCAATTCATAATTACTATTAGAAATTCATTATCTACTTTAAAAAAGCTAATTTTCATCGGTCTAGTTACTAATATTTTTACAAATATTATAAGCTAACAATACATCCTCGATAACAACGTAAAAAGTATAATAATAATGGTGTGTAATCAAATTTTTTAGATGGAAGTAACGCCGTATCATCTGACATAATGTCTTTTTTAAATTATGCTTATAATATTTTAGATATTTTAAACAAATTGTTTAAACATTTTTTTTACATATTCGTCTATATATATATATATATATATATATACATATACACATATACATAATTTATGTTAAATTTAAATATTTGTAGACATGTTTTCTTTAGAAAATAGTCTAGAAAAATCTTTTTTACACAATGTTAAATTCAAATGTTTTTAGATATGTTTTCCTTTTAAAATTGTTTAGAAAAGTTATAGGTGACTTCACATCTTTCAAAAATAATATAGAAAATTTTGAGTATTTTTACATATACTAATATAATATTTTAGGTGTTTTTAATATTAAACATATAAATTTTATATCTCTTATACAAAATAACGTAAAATTCATATTCTCTTATACAAAATAGTTTTACATTGTTTGACCTCGAATATTTAATTTATAATTATTAAGTCTTGTTTATCCTCCTCTTTAATTTATAATTATTTTTTTTCTTTCTCTTTTTAAATAGGATCAATAGTAGTTTATACTTATGCCATCGAGTGACTCAAACTCGAGGTTTATTAATAATATTGTTAATTTAATATTGTTCCCGTGCATGAGGTATATACTAGTTATATTCTTAAAGAGACCTAGTCTCTAGAGAAGAAATCATCTTTATTTCATGCAACTTACAGGTATTACTCCCTTCCAATCTCGTCTGATGGTATTTTACCATTCAAATCTAAATTGACAATGTATGTATTAAATTTTAGCTGTTGGCTGCTTGTATTCAGTTGTTGACTGCTTGTAATCAGCCGGTGGCTGCTTTATGCACAGTTGTGCGATATATATATTACCTCTATCGTTTCGTCAAAAAAAAAAAAACGAATCAACTACTTGTGTGATCTACTTATTAAGGCTCGAATCTGGAGTTAGGTTGTTGGACAATAGTTAACAAGCCGAATTTTACTCGTTTTTTCGCACTATTCACTTTGTTCAGCTCATTAAAATTCAAGTTTGGCTCATTAATTTCAATAAACGAGTCAGAGTTTACACGAGGCCAAAATCCCCTGCCCTTCATAGGATTCCTTCAGATAATAACATAGACAGTCAGCACATGGGATGACGTGGATCGGACCATTACGCTACTGTGATGACCCCTCAAATTGCACATGGGATGACGTGGAACCGAACATTACATTACACTACTATTTATTTATCTTCGACCCCTCAAAACAAATAGTTCACAAAATTAAAATGTACTATAAAACTGGAAAAGTGGAAAACAGAACTAAATTGTACATGGACCA